AAAAAAAAAAAAAAAGATGTAAAGTTATTACAAAGTACAAGCCCAATTCTGAAACTACTAAAGCCAACAGAGTCTACTGGTCAGAACCCTATGAAAATTTCTAAAATTTGACTCTCAATTTCTTGTTCCAGAATTTTAATCTCAGTTTGTGGACCAAATTCTGACTATTAGTGACATAAACCACTCTTCTCAAATGTCTCATCTGTTAAACCAAATATAAATTTCTCATCATTGACCTGTAGGTTCTACGTTACCTAGCTCTAATAGGCAAGCTCTTACCTTCTTCCCAACGTAACTATTTAACCTACTCTTTTTTTTCCCCCATTTACTCAACCGTCTAAAGTACATTTTATATATGATGTAACACAACTGAAATATTCTCACTAGAAAGATTTCCTAGAAGCCAGTGGTGGCTAATACCTGTAATCCTAGCTACTCAGAAGGCTGAGATCTGAGGATCATGGTTCAAAGCTAACCTGGGCAAAAAAGTTCATGAGACTTATCTCGAAATTAACCACCAGAAAACCAGAAGTAGAGCTGTGGCTCAAAGTGGTAGAGCACTAGCCTTAAACAAAAGAACTCAGGGCCTGGGCATCAGGGCTTACTCCTGTAATCCTAGCGATTCAGGAGGCTGAGATCAGAGGATCGCAGTTCAAAGCCAGCCCAGGCAGAAAAGTCCGTAAGACTCTTATTTCCAATAAACCACCAGAAAACCAGAAATGGCACTGTGACTCAAGTGGTAACGTGCTAACTTTGAGCTGAAGAGCTGAGGGACAGTTTCCAGGCCCAGAGTTCAAACTCTATGACTGACCAAAAAAAAAAAAACAAAACAGAAAACAACAACTTGGAGACCATGCCCAGGCCCCTAGTTGGTATCCCACAACTAACAAAAAAAAAGTCTATAAACATTAATATGGATACACAAATAACAGAAAGTATATAAGAAACTGCCTAACTACTAAGAGTTTATGAGTACACAAAGTTAAAATAACAGGAAATACTTTGTGTGTCGGGGGCCAGTTCTAGGCTTTGAACTCACCTATACACTGTCTTTGAGATGTTTTGCTCAAAGCTAGTGCCACTGAAACCACAGCTCCACTTCTGGCTTGGTGGTGGTTAATTGCAGATAAGAGTCTCATAGAGTTTCCTGCCCAAGTAGCTTTAGACCATGATCCTCAGATTGCAAGCTTCTGAGTAGATCAGTTACAGTCTTTTACTATGAGAATTGACGCTTACCTTCTCTTCACTATTTGTAGCTATCTCTTTTGTTTTTTCTTATTAGGTCTGTCTCCATTAACTCTGGACCCTAAAACAGCTCACCCAAATCTGCTCCTATCCAAAAACTACACCAGTGTATGGCATAGTGACATTAAGCAAGCACTGACTGACAATCCAGAGAGGTTTGACTCAAGTGTGGCTGTCCTGGCTTCCCAAGGCTTCACCTCTGGAAAGTGGTACTGGGAAGCAGAAGTAGCAAATAAGACCAAGTGGACAGTAGGTGTCGCCAAAGAATCCATCGTTCGTAAGGGCAGCTGTCCTCTAACTCCTGAGCAAGGTTTCTGGCTCTTAAGATTAAGGAACCGAACTGATCTAAAGGCACTGGATTTGCCTGCTTGCATTCTAAAGCTGACTAAGAAGCTCGACAAGGTGGGCATCTACCTAGATTATGAGGAAGGGCAAGTGTCCTTCTACAATGCTAAGAACATGGCCCACATTTATACCTTCAGTAGCATTTTCGTGGAGAAACTGTACCCTTACTTCTGCCCCTGCCTTAATGACGGTGGAGAGAATAAAGAACCATTGTATATTGTACATCCACAGTAATTAGTCATACTACTGTATAAATTCAGAGGCTATTAAATAAGTATTGAAATATCTTACCAGTCTCTCACTCAATTCTATTCCCAATTTATAGGAACTCAGAAAGGGTGAAATGTGATGTTTAGGAACATCACAAACATAAGCAGAAGGATCCTGACTTAAAGGACAGCTTGGGCTACATGGCAAAAAGGAAAAACAAACAATCAAAAATACAGCACAGTGGCTCAAGTCTATAATCCTAGCTTCTTGGGAGATAGAAATCTGAGGAATTGAAGTTCTCGCCCTGCCATAAAAGCTCCTGATGGTGTTACAGGGCTTATCATCACACCCAGCTGTAATTTCTTTTCTGGTAAAAACTTATTCAGGTTGGGTATCCTGTGGCTCATGCCTGTAATCCAAGATCCTCGGGAGGCTGAGCTCTGAGGATTGTGGTTCAAAGCCAGCCTGGGCAGGAAAGTCCATGAGACTCTTACCTCCAATTAACCACTCAAAAACCAGAAGTGGTGCAGTGGCTCAAAATGGTAGAGTGCTAACCTTGAGCAAAAGAGCTCAGGGATAGTGCCCATGCCCTAAGTTCAAGCCCCATGACCAACAAACAAAAAAACCTATTCAGAGCCAGAGCTAGTGGCTCTGGCTTGCCATCTCAAGAGGCTGAAATCTGATGATTAGGATTTAATGCCAACCCAGGCAGGAAAGTCCATGAAACTTTTATCTCTCCAACTAACCATCAGAAAACCAGATAGGGAGCTGTGGCTCAAAGTGAAGAATGGTAGCCTTGATCAGAAAAGCTCAGGGACAGTACCCAGGCCCTGAGTTCAAATCCCACCACTGGCATAAAAGTTTTTAAAAATTCATTCAGGATCTAGATAGATATTCTCTTGTATTTTATGTATCTTAAAGTTTTGCCTTTCAAGGCTAGCAAAGTGGTTCAGGAGGTAAAGCAACTACCTAATAAGCATGAGGCCCTGAGTTCAATCCCCAGAACAGTAAGAGGACAAAAGGGAGGCAATTACAAGCAAAATTTTGCCTTTTATACTTAAGAGGTTAATGGTTCAATTGACTAGGAAGTAGTTATAAGCATGCATTTATTATACAACTTCAAAATATATTAAGTGACTGGGCACCAGCAGTTGACACCTTTAATTCTAGCCATTCAAGAGGCTAAGATTTAAGGTTAGCAGTTTGAAGCCAGCCCAGGCAGGAAAGTCCATGAGACTCTTAGCTCCAATTAACCATTACAGTAGAAAGCCAGAATTGGAGCTGTAATTCTGGCTCAAAATGGTAGAACGCTAGCCTTTAGCAAAAGAGCTCAGAGACAGTGCCTAGGCCCTGAGTTCAAGACCTATGAATGACTCCCCCCCTCACACACACACACAAAGTAAAACATATACCAATCAGCTCAACCCAATGAGTCATAGATAGAACGCTGTACCCCAATACCACAGAATCACCAGCAGCTTCAGATTATTCTTTTTAAACCCAGAGGACAGCTGACTGCTGGTAGCTCATGTCTATAATCCTAAGAGGCTGAGTTCAAGGCCAGCTCAGGTAGGAAAGTCCATGAGACTCTTATCTCCACTTATCCTCAAGAAGTGGAGCTGTTGCTCAAAGGGGTAGAGCGCTAGCCTTGAGCAAAAGAGCTCAGGGACAGTGCCCAAGACCAGAGTTCAAGCCCCAAAACCAACCAAAAGCAGCCAAAAAAATCCCACAAAAAACAACCACAACCCCCCCCTCCAAAAAAAAACAAAAACAAAAAACAGCCAGGCCCAGGTGGCTCACACCTGTGATCCTAGCTACTCAGGAGGGTGATCCTAGCTACTCAGAAGGCTGAGATCTGAGGAGCTCAGTTCAAAGCCAGTTCAAGAAAAGAAAGTCTGTGAGATTCTTTTTATTTTTATTTTTTTATTGTGAACATACTGTACAGAGGGGTTACAATTACATGGGCAAGATAATGAGTAAATTTCTTATCAAGCATTGCAGCCTCCTCCTTTGTTTACCCTTCACATCCCTTCCCAGCCTCCCCACTCTGTGAGATTCTTATCACCAACAAATCACTCAGAAAACTGGAAGTGGCACTGTGGCTTCATAGAGCGCTATAGCCTTTAGCTGAAGAGCTCAGGGACAGCACCCAGGCCCAGAGTTCAAGCCCCACAACTGACAAACAAAAAAAAGAGGACACTGGCCATTTGCTTCTATTATAAAGCAAATAACAAATTTCAAAGGATTTATAATCATAAAAATCATATTAAAATGTATCTAAGTCATTCAGAACCAATAACCAGAAGATAATTGGAAGAGTTATATATTGGGGAATTTTTTTTAATGTTTAAGTCAAAAAACTCACCAAAAATCTGAAAATATTTTGAACTGAGTAATAAGAAATGGCATCTCAAAAGATGGTTAAGACATGGGCTGGGAAGGTGGCTCAGTGGTAGAGCGCTTGCCTTGCATGCATGAGGCCCTTGGTTCGATACCTCAGCACCACATAAGCTGAAAAAGCCAGAAGTGGCGCTGTGGCTCAAGTGGTAGAGCGCTAACCTTGAGTTGAAGAGCTGAGGGACAGTACCCAGGCCCAGAGTTCAGGCCCACAACTGACCAAAAAAAAAGGTAAGACATAGTTTTAGAGAAATATCTAGTCATACATACATGTACATTTTAACATGTAGGGGGTGGGAAGGTGGTTCAGTGGTAGAGTGCTTGCCTAGCATGCACGAAGCCCTGGGTTCAATTCCTCAGCACCACATATAGAGAAAAAGCTAGAAGTGACACTGTGGTAAAGTGCTTGCTGCCTTGAACAAAAGAAGCCCAGGGACAATGCCCAGGCTCTGAGTTCAAGCCCCAGGACTGGCCAAAACAAAACAAAAACCCCAAAGGGAGAAAATCAATAAACTTTTAAGAATGTAGGGAAAAAAAAAACAGCAATTTGAAATCATGGAAATTACATACTGCTGAAATTGACATCAACAGGAAATACCAACAAAATCAAAAGTTTGGTTTTTTTGGGGGGAAAGGCTAATAAAATCGACAAACCTCTAAGGAGACTAGGAAATAGAAAGTGCAAATAAAATATGAGAAATGAGCTGGGCACTGATGGCTCACACCTGTCATCCTAGCTACTCAGGCGGATATCTGTGGATGGGGTTTGAGGCCAGGCCAGGCAGGCAAGTCTGTGAGACGCTCATCTCCAATGCGCAAACCAACCAACAAACCCACTGAGCTGTGGCCAGGTGGTAGAGTGCCAGCCTTGATTGAAAACGCGCGCACGCGCACACACACGTGCCAAGTATCTGTAGATGAAATGGTAGCCAAGACTTGATGCTACACAATCTCATCCCAATCTCAACACCCAGGGTGCAAACACTCACCAGCACCAGCGTCCTTCCTCGCGGCTTCCCCAGCTTAGTTCAACAGTCTGGTACGGCGTGCGGCAAGCTTTTCCCGCCTTTTGCTGCCGGTAACCAATCAGCGCGAGGATCTTCGGTCCTGAGCCAATCAGCGATCCCCGCAGCAGGCCTTTCCCCCCCCCGCCTCCCCGCCCACCTCCTCGCGGTCCCGGAGCCGCCATGTTTCAAGGGCAGCGGGGCTGGTTCTGTGGTAGCGTCGGCCAGGACCTGAGGCAGTTCTGGAGTAGGCGGCTTGGCCGGAGGGGGACGAGTGAGGTGGGGAGGGTCGGAAGGGTGGCTCCAGGAGGTCCGCCAGGCTCACCCCGCGCTCTTGCCTCCGCAGTGGCCGAAGGCGGCACGGTCAGTGACTGGCGGGCCGCAGACTTCCTGTTCAGCAGCGACGCCTCGCACCCGGACACGCTGAGGTACCCGCGGCCCTCCCCGCGGCGCCTTCCAGCCCGGGACGGCCGCCGTCGGCCCCGGGTCGTCGGAGACGAGCCGAGCTCCGGCCTTGCACGTGTGTGCTGTGCTGTCCTCGCCATCGCCCCGCCCCGGTTCCACCCGGTGCCCGGGGCTCTTCCGGGATCCCGGCCTCGTGGTTCCGGCTGTCCCCCCCCCCCCCCGCGGGGAGCACTGCAGGGGACCCGCGTACTCCATGTCTAAAACCCAGATGACCACCTCATAGCAGTGCCGTTCCGATCCTGTGTTGTTCACACTTAAACTCTTCCTGGACATTTGGGGCGGGGGGGGGGGTGTATTGGGGGGGGTGTATTGGTCGTGGGGCCTGAACTCTGGGCCTGGGCACTGTCCCTCAGCTCTTCAGCTCAAGGCTAGCGCTCTACCACTTGGGCTACAGCACCACTTCCGGCTTTTTTCTTTTTGCTTATGTGGTGCTGAGGAATTGAACCCAGGGCCTCATGCATGCAAGGCAAGCACTCTACCACTGAGCCACCTTCCCAGCCCCTCTACCACATTTTGAATTCTCTTTCTCTTCCCCTGCCCATCCAATCCCCAATTAACCAACAGCTTTTACTGAGATTGCTCATGCTCTCTTCACATAGTTGCACTGTTTTGAAATTATTCATCCTTCATCCTTCTCTTTTCCCTTCTCCTCATCTCATAAAATTGTTCTGTGTACATATATATGTATATATATATATATTATGTATATGTATGTATATATGCACATAAATGTACATTAGTTACATCTGTTTGTCTATGTGCTGCTGAAGACTTGGCACAGGGCATCATGCATTCATGATGCTAGGCAAGTGCTCAGCCACTGAGCTACATTCCCATTCACAATTCTTTGTTTTTTCTTTTCTTTTTGCATTTTTGGTGCTCATACTAGGGCTTGAACTGAAGATCTCAAGCTCTTGCTCAGCTTTTTTGCTCATGGCTCATATTCTGCCACTTGGGATATACTTCCAGTCCAACTTTTTTTTTTGCTGTTTAATTAGAAATAGAGTCTGCTGGCTTTGAACTGTGATCCTCAGATCTCAGCCTCCTGAGTAGCTATGATTACAGGTGTGAGCCACAATTTTTGAAACAGTCAGGAACTATGACAAATGAAAAGGGAAACAATTTTTAGTAAAAAGACAAAAGATTTATATGTTCTGAATAGAAGCCACAGAGTATGGGAGAAAGATTTTTGGGGTTTTTTTGGGTCTGGTCGTAGGGCCTGAACTCTGGGCCTGGGCGCTGTCCCTCAGCTCTTCAGCTCAAGGCTAGCGCTCTATCACTTGAGCCACAGTGCCACTTCTGGCTTTTTTCTTTTTTGCTTATGTGGTGCTAAGGAATCGAACCCAGAGCCTCAGGCATGCAAGGCAAGCGCTCTACCACTGAGCCACCTTCCCAGCCCCGGGAGAAAGATTTTTGGTAGAAGAGGTTACTTTTCTGGCACAATGGAGCTATTGGAAGTGCCCTTCGTGCCTCTCATCTCCCAAGTTTGTGTGGGTTAATTCGACTTGATATTCCAGGAGGAACTTACCATCTATCAAGGTCAACTGGAGGCAAGCCTGAAAGAACTTCAGTCTTTGAAAAACATGCAGCAGGATGCTATTTCTGAGTCCAAGGTGAGAAGCAAATTAGAGGGGCTGTAAATAGAAGTGGAATACACTGTCATTTTGACTTCAGCTACATGGGTGCAAAGGTGTGTGTGTGTGTGTGTGTGTGTGTGTGTTAACATATATGTATGTCAATACACCAATATACTGAATGACACATGGACTATGCAATTTTAGAAAACTGACACTTTAAGGTGGAAAGAAAAATGTTCCATAGAATAAGTTTTCTAACAGTAGATAGAAGAGATTGGCATTCCACTCTTACTGTACTGATTCTTTTTTTTTTTCTTTTTTTCTGGTATTGGGCTTGAACTCAAGTCCTCACACTTACTTATTCATGACTCCCACTACCACTTGAGATGTACTTCCAGTACAGTTTTTTTTGTGTTGTTGTTGGTCGTGGGGCTTGAACTCAAGGCCTAGGTGCAGTCCCTAAGCTCTTTTTGCTCAAGTCCAGTGCTCTACGACTTGGAGCCATGGTGTCACTTTCAGCTGTTGAGTGGCTGAAGATAAAGAGTCCCATGGACTTTCCTGCCCAGCTGGCTTCGAACCACAGTCCTCAGATCTCAGCCTGCTGAGTAGCTAGCTAGGCATGAGCCAACAGTGCAAGATGATATTACACAGGAAGATATGGCTCCAATCCCATCAGCCCTTAAGTAGATACAATTTAGCATTATGAGGTTTATCCTGTGAATGAGAAATAATTAAAGGGACTTCAATAGGGCCTGATTTCATCTTGCTTTGAAAGTATCCCTGGTGGATACTTGGAGAGAGGTAATGGTGAAGACAGTGGTTAGAAGACTATAGAGTGGTTTCAGAAATGATGGCAATGTCTGGACCTACTGAGTCAATTCTGAGAAATAAACAGCTTGAGTATATGATTTGGAGATAAAATGACCTGGATATGGTGACTGATGACATATGAGGAGTGAGTGGGGATATCAAATAAGCAGTTAGATAAAGCAGCCTAGAAATCAGCAGCTGGTTTCAGCTGGAGATGCGTGTTAAGATAGATAGATAGATGATAGATAGATAGATAGATAGATAGATAGATAGATAGATAGATAGATAATAGATAATTATTTAAAGCTGGGATCTGGTGGCTTATGCCTGTAGTCCTAGCTAGTCAGGAGGCTGAGATCTGAGGATTGTGATTCAAAGCCAGCCCGGGGGGAAATTCCATGGACTCTCAACTCCAATAAACCACCAGAAAACTGGAAGTGGCATTTGTGGCTCAAGTGGTAGAGTAATCGCCTTCAGCTGAAGAGCTGGGGGACAGCGTTCAGGCCCCATGACCAACAACAACAACAACAAAAAGATAATAGATAGTATTTAAAGCCATGGAAAGAAAGAAGATTACCTGAGAAGACAATGTAGAATGTAAAGGAGAAAGAGCCTACGATAGAATATCAAGTAAACCTAAAAGTGTGTTGAGAGGAAAGTGGAGCCAATAAATAAGAATGAGAGGCATAGTTAAGTGGCAGAGGCTTCCCAAGCAAAAGTAATGCACTGGGTTCAACCCAACTACCACAATAAGTGAAAACAAGTCATTTTAAATGAGAAGACAGAGAGATACTGGTAAGAGAGGGAGAAAGGGAGACCACAGCTACAGAAGAAAAGGAGTTAAGACTATCTTAAGAAAGCAGTTAATAATGATGGACCGTAAATCCAGGTTGGATATGTTATATGATGCTACAAGTTTATGAATAGAAATGGAGGGGGTCAAGCTGGGTGCCGGTGGCTCATGCCTAGAGTCCTAGCTACTCAGGAGGCTGAGATCTGAGGATCGCATTTCAAAGGCAGCCCCAGCAGGAAAGTCTGTGAGACTCTTTATCTCCAATTAACCACTCAAAAACTGGAAATGGCACTGTGGCTCAAGTGGTAGAGCTCTAATCTTGAGCTGAAGAGTTGAGGAACAGCACGTAGGCCCAAAGTTCAAGCCCCACGACTGACCAAAAAATAAAAAAGAAAGAAAGAAAGAAAAGAAAAAGAAATGAAGAAGTCAATGAAAACAAAATTTCAATTAGATCCAACAATTGTTATAATGGGGTACTTGAGTAAGCCTAGAGCATACAAAGTTATTTTGTAGACAGTGTAATTGCTGGGGATGAGAAAAATCCCACGGGTGAAGGAGAATCAGTGGCTAAAGCCGTATAAATTATTAGAAAGGGGGAAAATGAGGAACTGAGAAACCAGTAAGATAGTCCACCTATGAGAAGATTGTGGTCACCCAAGAAAAGAACCACAGTATAGTAGAATTTCGTTTTTCTTTGCCAGTCCTGGGGCTTGAACTCAGAGCCTAGGCACTGTCCCTTAGCTTCTTTTGCTCAAGGCTAGCACTCTATCACTTGAGCCACAGCACTACTTCTGGCTTTTTCTGTTTATATGGTACTGATGATGAACGGAACCCAGCGCTTCATGCATGCTAGGCAAGCACTCTACCACTAAGCCACTTTCCCAGCTCTAGTAGAATTGTTTGTCAATGTTTTCAACATTGCTCATATCTGTTTCTTTTATACTGTCCTAGCAATGGAGTGATATTCCCGAGCTCTGATTTCCAGATAAGGACAATTCTTCCAGGCTCTTTCTGACCCTAGTCTAATAACACTATTTGGTATCTACTGGTTTGCCAATCTACAAAGGTATAAAATGTTTGATTAACTCCACAATGTTATCTAGTAAGTGGCACTGGTTACCATGCCAGTACTGCAACAAGAATCAAGATACTACTTTTTGATTCTTTCATTCTAACCACTAAACTAGCTATAGAAAAAGGAGTTAAGTCTCCCAAAGGGAGAGAAAATGGCCATTTGTATGGTGTTTCTCAATGTGTGTTAGTACTGGTGGTATGGGTCTCCATCCCCAAATGCTAGTCTCAATAACCATGGTGATGATCATGGAGGTTTCCAGGAAAACAAGGTACAACTGCAGCAACACATTTCCCTGGAGTTTCTAAAGCTCCATCAGTTCCTGCACAGCAAAGAAAAGGATATTCAAAATGACCTCATGGAAGAGTGGAAAGTCTTGAGCGAGGAGATGGAGCACAACCTGAAGCAGCTTCAGGAACAATGTTTCCTTGCCAAAGACATGTTGGCGAGCATTCAGAAAAGGATGGACGAGAAGAACCACTATGACTTCCTCAACGTGAGTCTCTATATTAACATTATGGGTTTACTTAAGAGTTGCGGGGAGAAGGGGTGTGAATGTATGTGCGTGAGAAAGATGTAGTAGTGGCCTTTCACCACTAGGGGTATCCAAAGCAAAGCAAAACAAAAACTAGAACTACTTGAGTGCTGATGTCTGGAAAGAAAAGGAGATTACTCATGTTTTATGCTGAGTAAAAACTTTTACCCTCCTAG